ACCATCCATCCTTACAATTTCCCCATCTTTTATATTTCTTCACTGTATATAAGATTTTTGTACCTAAGTTATTTTTTTATGATTTAATATCATGTGTAGATATTAATAAATCTATTATCACGACCAAATCCATCGTAGTAATTTATTATTTTCTTAAAGAATTCATTTGGCGCTTGGCTTTCGCTTGGAGCAAAAATCCATTTTTTTTAGCGCATCAATTCGTAATAAAATAATGCAGTAAAGTAAATGCACTTTGAGAAACGCCGAAATTCTATCATTGTGTGACGATCGCAATTCTATACAAGACTCATCTTTTTAACGTAATCCTGTAACTTGTATATAATCTATATAATCACGGATTTTATAACTAATTTCTTTTAAAAAAATTTTTTTTTATCGTCTTACCTTAGACCATATTAAAAATACGACGATTAATTACCGATTTTAAATATACACATGTAATTTTTTGTTTAAAAAAAAATCATACTGTATGCCGCATATACATTTACTGTACGTAAGGTCGATTATGTATACTTTACAATTCGTCTATTTCAGTGAATTAAAAAAATTTTTTTTAGTCATAAAAAAAATAAGTGGGCATACCTGATATCGAGAAGACAGACAAGTTGTAAAATTGCAACGGGGAATGCTGATATCAAGTACTGTACGTAATAGAATGGAGTTATCAAAAAATTAATGATAAAGTTGAGGATGCGATTGATTAATTGATTAACAAAAAAAATGAAAAAATTGTTTGCCAAAAAAAACATTTGCAAAATATTTGCATAATAATAATAGTTAAAATTGTAATTAAAAAAGTAAAAATAATTAATTATCAATTATGTATTTAATAAAAAAATCAAATCCACATAAAATTTTGTATTAGATCATCTACAGTAAATATTGTACTTTTCTTTATTTTTCTTAGAATTCATAAGTTTGTATTTTATTAGTCTTAAAAAAAGCAATGTAGATTTTAATAAAACAAAATAAAATATGTATACTTGGAACTATTACACTATAAATTTTTTTAAATATTATTTTTCATAATGTAAATATTATAAAATATATTTTGTAAATTATATTAGTTTTTTCTAATGTAAATTGAAAAAGCCAATTTACCAGTATATCAGATATTAATTAATTATTTTATCTTATTTGATCAATTTAATTAGCCTTATATTTTAATAAACTGTAAGCATGAAAAATATGGATTAATATTTTAATTTTATAATTTAAAATAGAATATAATTTTATTTAGATATACTTTTTCACTAAAAAAAGCCATAAATTACTAATTTATTAATACGGATATTTGTGGCGAGAAATTGTGCGCGTGATACAACCAATCTTTGATCTCACTAGGATAATAAAACAAAATATAAATCAATCTTTAAAATCTCCTTTCAAAGAAAATTTTTCTTACCTTTTTTCTTGTACTTTTATTTCGTTTGATACATATTTTTTGTAAATGGGTGTTGGTTTCAGTTGCCTCGGTCTGGGTGCGGCCTCATGGGTAGCGTCGTGCTTTGCCTCTTGCTTTTCTGCAGCAGCATGTTCTTTAGCGTTCAAATCTTGCAATTGCAATAGTTCTATTGCGACCAGAGTCGGTTATGCGGTGAGTCTTCGCTTGCAAACTAAATAAGACTATATATCTACATTTTCTCAATCCTTTTCATTTTACAGATCGTTCTTCTTTTGAATTCCATGGTTAGTGTGTGATAATATTGCTAGACTTGTACCGAAGTACAGTGAATCTTATTTTCAAACCACATTTTACAGTTAGCATGGATAATGTTAACAGATTGGGCGATCAAACAATTAGAGAAGATAACATACGATTACCTGAAATTAGATTGTGAAGAGGGAACTTGTTACGGAGTATTAGCTGTACGTCATTTTATTTGGTTCAAATATCAGATTTCTTGCTCGGCTACATTTTTCTGTTTATTGCAATCTATAATTAGGTCCATCGTATATGCTTTGCTCTTTCATTTTTCCACATCATATTGGCACTATCGGTTATTGGGGTTAATGATACCCGTAGTAAAAGGGCCGCAATACAAAACGGGTAATGGTTATGAACTTAGCAACAGTCTTCGTTTGCATAGCTTCTGTCACGACTTAAGATCTTTAAAATTCGCAGGTGGTGGGGCCCCAAAATTTTATTATGGATATTTCTCGTTGTTGTTTCCTTTTTCATCCCGAACCAATTTTTCATGTTTTGGGGGAATTATATTGCCTTGATTGGTGCAACAATATTTATTCTGATCGGCTTGGTGCTCTTGGTTGATTTTGCTCATAATTGGAGCGAAGCCTGCATTGAAAAATGGCAAGAGTCGGACAACAACAAATGGAAATATATTCTCGTTGGATCCACTATGGCTATGTATATTGGTGCGGTAACACTCACTGGAATTATGTATGGATTTTTTGCAGGAAACGGATGTCATCTTAATCAATTCTTTATAACGTTTAACCTGGTCTTGGGCGTTATCGGAACTGTTGCGTGTATCAACCCACTTGTGCAAGAGGAAAATCCTCGTTCAGGACTGTCTCAAGCTTCGATGGTGATTATTTACTGTACCTATCTTATTTTGAGTGCGGTAGTAAATGAACCGTCTGGAATCGAAAACGAATGCAACCCGTTGAAGAAAAGTTCTGGTACAAGGACAACTACGATTGTCATAGGAGCATTGTTCACATTTTTGGCGATCGCATACTCAACATCGAGAGCTGCTTCTCAAGGCAAGGCATTAATAACTAAGTCGGATTATCATCCTGTTAACACTGCCACTGCGATACCTTTGACGACTAACTCGCTTAACGGACTCACTTCCAACAAGCGCTCCGATGCGCTGTTGGCTGCTGTTGAAAGCGGGTACGACTTAACGCCATTTCAATTCTGTACTTAAAATCTGTAAAATTAATGATTTGCTGTTTTTTTTAGCGCATTACCTCATTCTGCACTAGATGATGATGATGATGATGATAATGATAATGATGATGAAAAAAATGGTGTTGCCTATAATTACACATTCTTCCATCTCATATTTGCCATCGCAGGCATGTACGTTGCGATGCTTCTTACCAATTGGTGCGTATTTCCGAACCTTGATATTGTTCTTGTTCTATTTTTAATTGATTCCTAATGATATCTCTTTTTAAATTAAAGGAATAACGTCACGACTGAAACCACAGAAACCGATGAGTTGGTCACTATAGGACAAACCTTTACTGCGGTATGGGTTAAGGTCGTTTCAAGTTGGGTTTGTTTTGCTTTATATTTATGGACTCTCGCTGGCCCAGTATTCATGCCAAACCGATTTGGAGTAAGTCGAATAAGTTTTTTGTTATGGCCAATATTTTTCTTCAACCCATATTGACTTCGAATTATTATTAAACAGAGCGATTAATAAATCTTCAGCCTTCTTACGTTTTATTCCAATATTTAACGTATGTTGTATTTGCGTGCTTCACTTGTATTTATATCACGACCCATAATATTTGAAGTGCAAAATAAAACATAAATGAATATAATTTACTTAATCCTTTTTTTATTATCAGTATTAATAAAAAAGATTAGGCAAATCTAACTCTCAATACCTAAATGTTTGTACAAATTCTTCTTATAATGAATGATAATGGTATAATTGAAATTGGATTATTTGGTGATGATAATAAAAAGACTAGCTATGAAGTGAGATTACATCCTTTTATGATGAATAGTGATGAACTGAATGCAAATTGTCTTTTTTTTTTAAAAAAAAAAAAAGTCTATGAAGTCCGTTATTTAATTTTAACTTGCTCAGACTCTAGAATAACCTGGATGTCTGCCACCTCTAATAGTGTTGAAAAGGTTTTTGGTCAAGTCCTGTTAATAAATCGAACAAACGAGTTTTATTTAAGTATATATCCTTTAGTAAATTATCAAGAAGACAAAAAAAAAAAATTCTCTTCTTTACCGAAGCAATGTATGGAACATCTCTCCAAAAATCCCTTTGTAGTCCCAAATAAAAAAAATATTTTTTTTAGTCTATTAAAAAGCCAATATTTTAAATATGCAAGTATAAAAAACCTCAAACCTGTTTGGAAGTAAATCCCATCCTCGCGATCTGTACACGTGATATTTGTAACCTGCTCCGATCATCAAATATAATGCCACGATAATAAAAATGCTAGCATATCAAAATGAAAATTTAGTTAAATAATCCGTAAATTTTTGAGTAAATAAATGCATTCTACTTACAAGATCAAAAACTTTGTAAATGCACCAAGACCTTTACTTTCCTCGGGTATTTTCGTCCCGCAAGCATGTAATGTTTTCCATTCTATGAACAATATATTGTCCTTGTATGCCTTCACTGTAATATTTTCTTCTTTCTGAGTACAAGACAGAAATTATTGACTAAAAAATTTCAAATGATCACATCCCTTCTACCACAAACCACTTACTTCGTCGCAAAAGAAGGTAATATTTGCTTCCTGTTTTTGACCAACAAAGATACCTCCGTGCAGTGAAACGGTGAGAGGACCTATTAAATGATTGATCACATTTAGCAAAAAGTTCAAATAATGAGGTAGTATATGTAAAAATTGCCTCACCATGTAAATCCTCGGCTTTCGAGGAGGGTCCTAGAACAGTTTGGGGATCTAATGGTCTTTCTGTGAAGTTTCCGGCAACTGTTTTGACACTTGTTACTAAAGTGACATTTTCCGATTTATGAGTTATAATCTCGCAAATAAAGGCTCCATCTTCACACATATTTTCATTGTGAGTTTCAACAGAATTATTGTAAGTTAAGGGGGAACATGGATTTATTAAATAAGTGGTGTACTTCATTGTAGGAGGTGACTCCTCGGTATTAGTAATGTTAAACGTCCTAAGGTTGAAATTTTGAAAAAATTGAAAATACATAAATTAATAAAGTCCCTACATCGAAAAGCACATTAAAAGTGTAAAAAGATCTTAACCGATTAAGCTCAGTAAAGTCGAATCGTATTCCTTCCACTTCCAGATTAGAACAATTAAAAGCCCTAATCTCAAGGAACCGACCAAACATAAACAGTACGACTACGGCAACTATCCAAGAACTTTTAAATTTACTCATTTTCCCGGAGTTGTGAAGAGATCTGAGAAAAGAATATAGAAGAAAATTTGCAAATATATTAAAAACAACACAGGCCAATGACGTCAGGTAGGTGATCCAAAATGTTGTTATACTTACTATAGGACGGTAATAGCCTTCTAAAATCAAAAAGAATTTAGGTTTGAGTACAATTAATGCTTTGTTTTGTCGTACATGCGTGTACATTGTTTATTTCTACTTAAAAAGAATAAATGATGCTTTATCAATAAAATATAAAAATACTAGGAGACATACGTAACATAAGTCACGTTTCACGCATTATAAAATATAAATAATATTTTAATAATAAATATATTCTTAAATTTTATACAATTAAGTATTTATTTTAAAGTTTTTTCAATAATTAAATAATAAGTTTGAAATTTTTTATAATAGAAAATACAATTTTTAAACCATTATTTATATTTTAATATATGTATTTTTTAATTTTAATCATTATTTTTTATAATAGAATAAAAAAATTAATTGTTAAATTTTATCAAAAAAAGTAAATGGCTTAAGAAGAAACTATAAATTTATTTAAATAAAAAATTATTTTAAAGTTTTATAAACTTTTATTTAATTTATTTATATATGTATTTAATCATATTAATAATATTGTTTAATATATTACCAAATATTTTTTTATATTATTATATTATAAATATGATATCTTAATTTTTAAATTATAAATATAAATAACATTATAATTTTTTATCAAATTCAAATATTATAACTATTAATATTGTTGAACCGCAAATCACAAAAATCTTAAAAATTTCCTTTTTTGGCAACTAAAGAAAAACCAAAGGAAATATCCAAAGGAAACACCAGGAAAAACTATCCTTTGGAAAGAAACACTTTGCAACCACCT